AGGAAAGAATTGCAACATTTGTTAGCCAAAATAAAGATGAAAGATGCAAGTCTCATAGGCTTCCGATATTATGGGGAATGTGGCCTAATTACAGGCCTGCCTTCCATCTTCAACATAACTTAACCATGAAAGATTAAAAAAGATTATTATTAATCGCTAACCACCCAGCTGGACGAAAAGCAGTGACCTTTTTGAGGGAAAAGCCGAAATTGCTGAAAAGGATATGCTCACTCATACTTTTAGTACACAAAGCCTTTTATTTCTAGAATCTTTCACACATACGCCAAAATATTTGAATAAGTTGACAATCTAGGTAATCATTTCAGAAGTATGATGAAAGCTAGCTCCGAAAAGACTATCGTTCAAGAAGGATTCTTTTGCGCATTGGGTACGACTCCGGAAAAGTGAAAGATTGATTCTCCTCATGGTCATTACTCTTTTGGCGATTACACAGCTCAACTCGCACAAAAAGCTTCATGAGTGCGCGAACAGAATGACAGTAATTAATTACTACAAACTGCTCACTCAAAAAAACATCGAAAATTATGATTCCTTCGTCCGTGCAGGGATATTGAGCCAATTATATCAAATGGCGTCCCACCAGAATCTATCTCTTTCAGCATTCGATAACTAACATTGTCGTAAACATTACTTTCTAATCGAACTTGGAAGTGGAGTCTCATTTACTTTTTATGCGTTGTTTAGCACTATGACATTCCTCTGGGATTAGTGTTGTGCGTGCACATGCGAGTCGTAAATAATTTTTCGCCTAGCACTTTTTCTGCGTTTTTCATTTTTCGGATACTATTTGTGATGAACACAAATCATTTTGACTGATGTTGAATGCGCGATTTCTTTGAGCGAAACTGCTTAAAATAGATTCAGAAACTTTGAAATCTTCTCACGGAGTTACCATTTCTCCTTTTACAATGAAAATAATGTAAATATTAGGTTGAAAAACACAACCTACCAAGATTTTTGAAAATCGTCAAGTTCCTCTAGGTTCAGTGAATCTGCCTGTTATAATACAGAGTGCGGCAAAATTCTGGGAGCCGAGTTTGCAGTATTGTAAATCACGAAACCACCAATGATTTGAATTCCAAATTTGTACCACCTAATACAGCAATCATCCTCTACAAACCACACTTTACACAGCTGCAAATGCTTACCATGTGTATTTGTAAAAATTGATTTTATCAAGCAAGTGCTTCTGCAAAGCGAAAAAATCAAAATTTATAGTATTCACAAATTATTTCGTAGCTAAAAATACTGTAAATACCCTAAAATAATTTGATGCATACAATGTAGGGGATGCTCTGCGCTATCGATTTGTAGTAGTTCCGTTTACCAGAAGCTATTCTTTCGAAAACGCAAAAGAAAAATTTGCGAATATACCTGCGTGCCAGTGGCCATTTGTCTATAAATTAAAATTCTAAAGCTATAAGAGCGCAGCAAGTGCCGAGTTTTAGGCTATATTCTTTTCATGAGTCTTCTATATAAGCATTCAATTGAATTTGATCGATGGAGCAATTTCAATACTTTTTAGTTTGTAATTTTTCGCTCCCGTTCGCGCAATCGCATCCAAATTCCCAGTATGCGAGTACTCTTGCCTTCACTTGAAATTCCAAAATTTTTTTCCTAAATTCCGCAAAAAAATTCTTCGTAAAATATATTGTAGCCAAAAGCTTGCTCTATCATACTACACATTTGCCTAGTGAAAGGAACTTTATCATGAAGGCATGGGGCGGATTTCATTTCGACTGCCTGCGTGCCACGACAGAGAGACTTGCCAGGATTGTGAAGGGCTGCTTTGAAACCAAAAAAGGCAATCTCAAAATTTGAGAGCTGCGCTATATTTGTAAAGGTTCGGTTCATATGTGCACCAAATTTTCTGTTTCTAGGTACTTTTCTTCCGATTCTATCTGGAAAATTACTAGGCTCCCAGACTTTTGCCCCACCCTGTAAGGGAGAAAATTATCTTTCTAAATATTGTGGTCATATTGCGAAAAGCTGATAAAGACAAAGTTTCAATAGTATGTCTTTGATTTTGGATCGCCAAAAATACTAAATGGCCAACAAATTCTAATTCTACGTTTGGTACAGTTAAGGCTTACTCTTTATGACTAGTGTGTACGTGGAATGACTCTACAAAAAGTACCAATTTAGACCTTCTTTCGAACTTTCAATCATCATGCAAATCGAAGAGTTTACTAAAGCTTTTCTAAATAAAATGTTTGAAAAATTGGCGTAAAACTTATTTCCAGTTCAGTAGCAGTGAATATATGAAAATGAGACTCATAATTTACAACCTAGTAAATTTATCTAAATCGATCGTTTTTAAGAAAAAAATTGTGACATATGTCACACACTAAAGATGAATATTAGAAACAACCCATTCCACTGTCGACAATAGGCTTTTGAATGTATTAGGTCGGTGCAAAAGTTTTGTCAGTTTTTTCAATCCATCGGCAAACACGACAGAATGAAGATAGACGAACATTTTAACATGTATCCTATGCAGAATTTTTTCCTCTTTCCAGCTGCTAAACTCTCATTGTGTTTCGATGAGAGAGTGATGAGATATTTGCTGGAAAATACAACCACTCGTTTTTACCGTGTCCAACTTTCGCTAATTTTCAAAATTTTTGTGTGAGACTTTCGGAGAAGCCTCAATAACCAGCAGATAGGGCAACCTTTTGCCAACAGATGAAATCTTTTGTAGCCCTATGGCTTGTCTTTCAGAATTTCTACGATTTATTTTTTGAGGTGTCCAAATTTTACATTCAGCTTATTTTAACCTCGTAGAACATAAAATGTTAAACACTTCAGCCATTATTTGATGCAAATTTTTCTCCTCTTCCTAATACTTGTCTTTTTTTGGCGAGACAAGCGAAATTTGTGGGGCAAATCGCACTATCTCTCAATTTCAGGAGTGCGCACTGACGTAACCTATGTTTCAAAATCTTCATGTTTCGAGGCGAAAATCGCTCGTTTACTTTGTAATGGTAGCGGTAGTAATAACCGAGTGTTGAAACCTCAATATTCTGTAGTTTTTGCAATGTTTGGTGCAATAATAGGTTACGCGATTTTTCCAAAACATAAGACTTTTGAAAAATTATTTGGCAAAATTCTGAAAACCCGCTGAAAAAAAGCAAGAGGTTGCTTAAGTTGCCCTATCTGGTGGTTATTAGGGCTCTTCCAAAAGTCTCATACAAAAAATTCAAAAAATAGCGAAAGTTGGACATGGTAAAAACGAGTGGTTGTAATTTCCAGCAAATATTTCGTCACTTCTGCAACGAAACACAATGGAAGTTTAGCAGCTGAAAAGAGAAAGAAATTCTGCATCGAATACACTTCAAAGTGTTTGTTTATTCTCATTCTAGCGTGTTTGCCGAATTGAAAAAACTGACAAAACTTTTGCACCGACCTAACATATTGTAACGTTTAACAATATTCAAGCATCATTTCCTTCGAAAAAAAAACTGATGAGGAAGACATAAAATCAGATTTTATCGCCGGTTTCAACCACGTACATCTCATTCGAAGTAGTAACTTCTACAAAACTACCTCCTCTGTCAGTTGACACTTCGAAAACCTACTCACCTTGTTTTTCGTCGCTAATTGTTGGCACGGTAAGCCTTAGTTCGGCTCGCTGAGTGCTTGTTATCCTCTGATTACGTCTTTGCCAAACAATTGCCTTGCTGCTTATTGTAGTTATTACTTACGGTCTGCCTTGTTTGAGATGTCGTCAGAGTTTGCGCCTTTCTGAAAACAAAAGGGAATCTAAAAGATTCATCTGGGAAATATCTTCTATAGTCTTTGCACACCAGCTATTAAAAATTCTACTAAAAAAATAATCGTCGCACACTCCATATCTTTTACACCATATAGTTAGATTCCAAGGCGTATGTTCTTACTTCGCACATTAATGTGGAAATTTTATTTTATAAAAATATGAAATAACTTTCAATAATGGTAGCGTATTGCCAGATTTGCAGCATTGTTCTCAGAGTATGTAGGCATGATTCATAAATGCTTCAGCTGTGGTTATCATTCGCACTAAATCCAAATTTCCGTTATCATATTTGATTGGTTCCGACTTCCGACAAGTATATATTGCTACTAAGTTTTGTGATTTGTACTTTTTGCTCATAGCTTCCCTGTCGTGATTCACATTCACGATAACATCAAAAAATTGGATATTCTTTAGTTTTCCCTCTAAAAAGTATATCATGGGTTAGAATACATATACAGACAAATTGATCTATTTGTTTATTCAGTCCTTTTTTTTCACATTCATTCATTCATCATCCAATTGTTTATTTATTTATTTATTTATTTATTTATTTATTTATTTATTTATTTATTTATTCGTTCACCCATTCATTCATTCATCAAATTTTGGCTGAAGCTCCAATATCTATTTATTCATGAGCTTATTTACTCTTTCATCCTTTTCCGTTCACTCAATTCATCCCAATCGTCCATTCAATCGTTACAATCATTCATGACATTCATTATCTTCATTCATTACATTCATTTATTTATTCAATTACATTCATTCACTCATTCCATTCCATTCCATTCAATCATCCATTCGTTGATCTATTTTGATCTATACATTCGTTAGCTCATTCGATCATCCATTCGTTCACCCACTCATTCCCTCATGATTCATTCAATCAATCATTCATCCATTCATTTATTCATTTATTCATTCATTCAGTCTTCATGCATCTCTGTCCTCACTCAACATTTATTTATTCGTTCAATCATCAATTTATTCATTCAGTTTTCTACTCATTCATCCAAACATTCATCCCATCTTCATCCCATCCGTTCATCACCCAATCGTTTCATTCCTGTTATTCTCACCCGGTTTCTCAGTTTCTTTCTTCTTTTCTCCATTGGTTTACTTAAATTTATTTACTTGATTTCATCATTTACTTACTCGATCTCCATTGATACCGTAACCTCTGTTTTGTTAAAAAAATGAAAAAAAGTTACAGCTGATGGGAAGCGTAGAGTACGATGACTACGACTACGATTACGAAGCGAATCTCACCGATGCCGAGTACGAGGACCTCGTTCGGACCACTTTGTGGCCTCAAACGCTCGAGAAGACTTTCGTCGTTATTCTTCTGACTATGATGGTCATCGGCGTGATTGGAAACACACTAGTCGTTATTGTTGTCATCTCGAAGAGATCCATGGTGAGTATTCACGAAAACAGAATTGAAAAACTTTATTTTTCAAACATTTCTTTGAGCATTGGGAGATGTTCTTCATTGAATTGTTAATTTACTAATCTGGCAAAAAACTGTACACTTTTGGCAATTCTGATGATCTCTAAAGCTATCTCAACATCTCAGATCTGCTTCATACTTAGGGGTCTTCTCACGGGTAGGGTCGATTCTGCAAATGCACACACTGCCAGCAAGTATACGATAGCTTCGTATCAAAATCTTCCCAGTTTTCTTCAATAATTTTCCTGCCTCTGTTTATAACTTTTCCTAGAATTTTCTCATATCTCGCCAGCTCTTACGGATTCAGTCTGATGCCTCTAGCTCTTAAAACAAATGTGAAAATATAGGAAGAAATATTGAAACTTGTCAGAAACTCTTTTTGTGCGTCGCATAGAGTTTGAATAAATAAGCGAAACTTAGAACTAATCAAGCTATTTCAAGAAATATCTTGGTTAGAATTCGAATCATATTCAAAGGTGTAGCAAATATCCTTCACCCTAGTTTTATTTCTATGTGTTAATTTATTCATTCTAACCTTTCGGAATGTCAAATGTTCCAAGCCAAAAAATTTTTTTGGCTTGAGCCAAGCATGTCTTACTGAGAAAATTTCATTTTCATTTGCACCTTCTCCACCACATGGAAGATCCCATTCTTCAAAGAATAGATCACTTCTGTTTGACTTGCTATTTTTTCGAATGTTCGCTAGAACTTCCAAGTTTCTCGAGATTCATTTACCTGCTACCTGAATTGCCAGATACTACTATTTCTAGAACCCTTGGTAATCCGATACGTAGACAAATACCTTAATTTTTTGAGAGGTTAAGATCCTTTACTCCATGCACTTGGCGCTAGAAACGCTCGAAAAGGGGATGAGAGGTATAGAGACGATCGTTTTAATGCCTAATGGTCGCGTTTGGACTTCATTATTCGTCCGTAGACCAACCATTGCCATAAAAGTGCAAGGAAAATAGTGAAAGGGTACGCATTGGCACTGAATTCTGCAAAAATGTCCTTTTAGCAACTATGTTAATTTGATGATTGCTTTCGATAATTAGTGAATAGTAGAACTTGTCATTAGATACCTTAGCAGGAAGTTGATATATAGTACAAGGAAGCGATTAGTAGACGAATGTTATTCGTCATGCTTTGAGAAATCTGATCCAGGGTTTCAAATGTGCATAGAGTTTGATGATTTTTTGTTGAGATATTCTCACTTAAACACTCGAAGCCCACCTCCTTCAGCTTCTTGTTCACGCATAAAGAAGCACTTAGCGCTTGAATAGCGCAATTTTTTGCGCTTAAGTTGCTATTTCAAATGGAGTTGAGGAGCAATTTGTCTGACAATTTGAGCATGGAGGTTTATAGATGATGCTTCGAAAAAAAAGAAGATAAAAGCGCAAGTTTTCGTTTTTCTTTATTTCTTATGAAACATTCACATATACTTACTTGCTACTTATTTATATACGTAATTAACCATACACATCGTCTAAACGATGTGTCACTGTAAGATAATGAGTATAAATGAATTTATTGAACGGGAAACAACATTTGAGAGAGAATCATTCTCATTTGGAATAGCACGCAGATCTAAGAATTTTAGAAATTTTCGAAAAATTGCCCACATTTATGCTCTACACTTTGCACAAGTATGGATCAGAGAGAAAGTTTTGTTCACTCGCTCGGAGGAAGATTGCCTTATCTAGACAATGAGCATGCTGCCAATGTTCTCTTTCTAGAGTCATCACAGAATATCGTGGAGTACACAAGGTTTCCATTCGAGGGGAGAGGGGAACAGGGAGAAAACATTTTTTTCCAATGAAGGGCGTGGCTTCGGCCGCGCACTCCGAAAAATTTTTTGGTACGCTTTCTGAATTTTTTGAGGATCATATCCCTAAGATTTCAAGGAAAAGGGGCTCAAAAAATTTTGTGAGGCTAAGCTGTAATTGATATAATTTTTGAAAACTTTCAAAAATTATATTAATTATTTACAAGTATAAACAAGTCGCTTGCACATTATAATGACTCATATAAGTAATTTTTAAAAGGGCGCGTCCCCCCCCCCGATGCCCCTCTGAAGAATATACATGTATCATGAGATTTGTTCATTACATTGTGACATTACAAACATGTTGCATTGTAACTTCAAAATAACCAACAGAAATGATTTTTTTCATATTCACTTGAAGCCGAGGTAAACGAAAGGAACAAAGGTTTCACTCACAGATTACCATGTTGATGCTGAGTATTTGGAAAAAACCCAAGAAGCCTGCAACTGTTGTGGGAAAACATCTTTTGATTTAACTTATGTGTAGATTTACTTCTAAGCCGAGATCAATCATACATACTGTATTTCCTAAACAAGACTTGCTAGACTGTGCAATTTACATACCACACAAGTTCCTGGTACGTTAGACTACTTTCGCGTAAACAGTATTTCTTCTCAAGCATCTACAATGCAAAACAATAGTCTGGCATTCAACTTACCCTTGCTCCTTATGTAAAGAAGAATGTCAATCGTAAGCACATATTATCAGGGAGGGAGAGTAAACCGCAAAGCTAGTTTTATGGCCTTACGACTGAGGCTCTCTTCTAAAGTTTAGGCTTGGTGTTTCAGCTGTTAACACGGCAAGGTCCCTCATTTATTAACCAGCAAAAAACCAAATTTTGAAGAAGAATTTGAAGCCAACTAAAAAGCTGAAGCTGCTGGGCATTCTCTAAACCGAAAGGAAGTAAAACTAAGCGCTTTTTAATTCCTAGTCCTTTGCCCTTTAACGTTCTTAGCTTTCTAATGAACGAGTTATAGCCCAGAAAAAGTGGCTATCTATGGCTAGTTAGAGATATGCATATGATGAGCCCACGACATTTCATCAGAACGTGAAAAGATAGTATATGCTTTTTAAGAGCTCCGCACGATAGTAGGAAGAAAATCATCTGCCAATTTTTAGTTCAAATGATTATAGCACCAGGGAATAAAATTTGAAGAATAATACTGCAACCAGTCCTTGATTAATCGTGAGAAATATAGCATATGACAACTACTGGCAGACTAAACTACGGCCTACGATGAAGACTGTTTCCTTACAGTCAGCAATCTCAACGCAGCAGAAAAAGTGTGGCTGGCCGCTAACCTATTGGGCTGCGAAGTCTTGAATTTTCACTTCGTGGAGGTTCCATTTGTTTCAGGCAAATAGACTGCCTTCAAAGCATATTTCGATCTAACTTTAAGCTACATAAGAGGCAACTTTGCATTACTGTATTTGCAACGACCAATTTGAATTTTACTTTTTCACTAGCTTCTTCTTTCCACGGCGTTCGTTCTCTCCATTTTATTGACCACAATATCATATTCAACGCACGCTCAGTAAAAAGACTTGAAACGTCGATGAAGAAGTAGTCCACTTGGTCCATCTGAGCAAAGTTCCCGGGCCACCTTTCCTGCGAAAAGCCTTGAGCACCTGACAAGCTTTACAAGCTTCATTAACTTCCTGCTGGAAAGATTGCTTAAAATAGAACCGTGATGCGAATATCTGCACTATTACAAACCTGCCATCCATATTCTTTTACCAGTTTTCCTCTTTGTAAATTAACACTTTCTTCGATGAGTGAGCCATACTCTACGATCGATGTCTGCTTTTCTACGAAGACATCATTGGTCATTCCCACATCTGCGCCTGAGGGGGTAGGAATAGGTTTAATGCGAGCAGTCAGCCCAATGATTTTGCATTCGCATGTTTTTGTAAACAGTAGATACAAAAAATCAGTGGACAAAGGAGATTAAAAATCTAGGTTTAACGATTCGTCAGTATGGGTCTGGATGTTTAGACGAGTCATTTGTAACTGATATGGAGGCAACCCGCGACGCTTACTGTAATTCTTATCGGTGGATAAAATCCGTTCCAGCAGAATGGGAATGTGAGCTATATTTCTGCTTGTCTGATCACTACGTAATATATAACGAATTCGTTGTTTACCCATTAATCCTCTGATAGTTGGATCATGGCAAACGAGGAGGCCGCAGACGTAAAAATTATGATGAAATACACTGATCTTTGGAATTGGATTGCTGCCAAGTGGCATGCGTTTTGGAACGCTGCCAAATTTCATAACGAGTGAACAAGCAGATTTTCGTAAAAGGGTCACACGGGTTTCGAAAGGCAATCATGAGCGTCGTAATGATTTTGAGACTGTGTCGCCATCGTGTGTTAATACTTGTACCTGCTTTTTTTTCGAGCTTGTTATCCCAGAATGTGTCTTCCGAATATGTCGTACTTCTATTAGTTGCTTTTGAAATGATGCCAAATTGCGTAACAGCGTGACTTGAGCTAAATTCATCTAAGTTCCCAACTCTTGTAAAAATGCTCTAACTAAGAACAGTCACTTTAGGATCGTCTTGCTTCCACGTGTAGACAAGAGAGTGCGTGAGTAACTTGGTCTCGTTGGTACTTTTGGAAACGTTTATCTGATAACAGCCTTGCTTTTGCTTGTTAATGGGTACCGCTTGCGCTTTCAACTAGGAATCGGTGTGTAAACGGCACGTAGGGCAATTGCATCGGGCACGGAAACAGATTTTTGTACGTTTGGGGCAGTTCTCAGAATTGAAAGTCCAAAAATGGCATGTACGGCAATTTCAGAATACGCTGTAAATACCTGATTTCGTTGTTTTTAGGGGTCGTAGATGTTTTTTCTTATATATATACGGTCTTCAAGCGGCACTTAGGGCTTAAACTTTCTTTTTGAATAGTTACTATCGGTCTGTAAGCAGCACGTGGGGCAACTCGATCGGGCAGGGAAACAGATTTTTGTACGTTTGGGGCAGTTCTTATAATTTTTAAACGGTCTGTAAGCGGCACGTAGGGCAACTTGATCGGGCAGGGGAGCAGATTTTTGTACGTTTGGGACAGTTCTTATAATTTTTAAATGGTCTTCAAGCGGCACGTAGGGCAACTTGATCGGGCAGGGGAACAGATTTTTGTACGTTTGGGGCAGTTCTTATAATTTTTAAACGGTCTGTAAGCGGCACCTAGGGCAACTTGATCGGGCAGGGGAACAGATTTTTGTACGTTTGGGACAGTTCTTATAATTTTTGAACGGTTTTCAAGCGGCACGTAGGGCAACTTGATCGGGCAGAAAAACAGATTTTTGTACGTTTGGGGCAGTCCTTATAATTTTTAAACGGCCTTCGAGCGGCACGTAGGGCAACTTGATCGGGCAGGGGAACAGATTTTTGTACGTTCGGGACAGTTCTTATAATTTTTGAACTGTTTTCAAGCGTCACGTAGGGCAACTTGATCGGGCAGGGGAACAGATTTTTGTACGTTTGGGACAGTTCTTATAATTTTTGAACGGTTTTCAAGCGGCACGTAGGACAACTTGATCGGGCAGAAAAACAGATTTTTGTACGTTTGGGGCAGTCCTTATAATTTTTAAATGGTCTTCAAGCGGCACGTAGGGCATTTTGAACGGTCTTCGAGCGGCATGTAGGGCAACTTGATCGGGCAGGGGAACAGATTTTTGTACGTTCGGGACAGTTCCTATAATTTTTGAACTGTTTTCAAGCGGCACGTAGGGCAACTTGATCGGGCAGGGGAACAGATTTTTGTACGTTTGGGACAGTTCTTATAATTTTTGAACGGTTTTCAAGCGGCACGTAGGGCAACTTGATCGGGCAGAAAAACAGATTTTTGTACGTTTGGGGCAGTCCTTATAATTTTTAAATGGTAGGGCATTTTGAACGGTCTTCGAGCGGCACGTAGGGCATCTTGATCGGGCAGGGGAACAGATTTTTGTACGTTCGGGACAGTTCTTATAATTTTTGAACTGTTTTCAAGCGGCACGTAGGGCAACTTGATCGGGCAGAAAAACAGATTTTTGTACGTTTGGGGCAGTCCTTATATTAAATGGTAGGGCATTTTGAACGGTCTTCGAGCGGCACGTAGGGCATCTTGATCGGGCAGGGGAACAGATTTTTGTACGTTCGGGACAGTTCTTATAATTTTTGAACTGTTTCCAAGCGGCACGTAGGGCAACTTGATCGGGCAGGGAAACAGATTTTTGTACGTTTGGGACAGTTCTTATAATTTTTGAACGGTCTTCGAGCGGCACGTAGGGCAACTTGATCGGGCAGAAAAACAGATTTTTGTACGTTTGGGGCAGTCCTTATAATTTTTAAATGGTCTTCAAGCGGCACGTAGGGCATTTTGAACGGTCTTCGAGCGGCACGTAGGGCAACTTGATCGGGCAAGGGAACAGATTTTTGTACGTTCGGGACAGTTCTTATAATTTTTGAACTGTTTTCAAGCGGCACGTAGGGCAACTTGATCGGGCAGGGGAACAGATTTTTGTACGTTTATGCAGTTCTTATGATTGACGGTCTTTAGGTGGCTCGTGTGCTTTTCGGGGAGGGATCTACTTATGTAGTAAGCTTCATATTCCTTTGGCGAAAGAAATTAGAAAATTAGAAAATTTAGAAAATTTTCTGACAAAGTTCTTAGACGACTGATTTCGTTGCTGTCGGATTGATTCTGAGAGAGAAGTGTTTTTTGTAGTACACAATTGTTGTGGATATTTCTACTTCCAAAACGATAGATGTTCTACTTCCTTGACGATCTTCTATAGAAATTGTTGAGGTTGCAGCAGGAATTTCGAGAAATGCTGAGTGATTTTTGGAGATTATTGCTTCTTCGAACTTCTCCTTTTGTAAAATGCTTCGCAAAGATGTTCTCAGCAAAGGCATAGAAAACTTATTTAGAAATATTTATAATCACAACTAAGCCCTTATATTGTATCTGCCCCTACCCACTTGCTAGCGACCCGTAGGGTCGCTAGTCAAGATAAATAAAAAAACAAGTTGAATTGTTCGGGAGGTGGCAACTTGTGATTATACAAGTCGTTGATTACTGTGCTTGGTGTGAAATACACACGTTCAGTTACAATGATTTTGTACGTTACGCGTTGCTCATGCTAGGTTGTTTATTGAGCTGTTCTATCGTAGTATCCACATACTACGATAGAACAGCTCAATAAACATTGAAAGTTCTGCGCTTTTTGTAATCCCTTACCTAGATTCTAATCTGCAAAATCAAGCAAGCATAAGTCGGCAATATTTTCTTTTCTTGGACGAAAAAATAAGCTACTGCAAAACAGTATTAACATCATGGGAGTCTCAATTTAGATTTTCACATGAAAATAATTGCTTGGTAAGAAAGTTATGTGTTGTTATTATGTTTCCGAACGATTAGCATGCTTACTGCCACAACCACAGCGCGATCCAAAACTTGTAAGGGAAGGAAAAACATTTGTCTGAAATGCAGTGATAAGCCTATCGCAAAGGTTTCGAGAGATTTGACTAGCTCGATTTAGCGAAATGCAAGCGGAAAAAGTAAAGGAAAGTGTGCAAGGTAGTTTAAAGATTCTGCCAAAATAACGATGAAAACTTCAATATAAATTTTACGATTCCAAATTTCTTGACAAGCACACTGCTCGCTATCAAATGTTGTTACACACTTTAGTATGTACTATGAAATTTCGAATGTGTTCTATCCCACAGACAAACTACTGTTTTTGCGGTAAGTGTAGAATTTCATTAAATACTAAGTAGTCATTGCTGTTTGAAAGAATTGATTGTGCATACAGTATGACTTCTAGAATGTAGTGACTCTCTTTTTTGATATTATTTCAAATGGAAATATCTACACATTGTTCGATTGTGATCGAAGCGGTCAATCAGTATTCATCAGGACGAATTGAGCTCCCATTCTGTAATAGATTTGTATTTTCAGTGGAGCCAGATGAATATCTTCTTGACAAACCTGGCCTGCGCAGATCTACTCATTCTAATCTTTTGTTTGCCTCCGACAATTATCAACGACGTAACGAAAACATTCTGGTTCTCCGAAGCTTGCTGCAAATCTATACTCTTCTTCCAGGTAAATGGTTTCCTTTATACCTCCTCATATAAACTGAAGCAATGAAGGAATGTAATACCTAAGACTGAGATGGGGTCTAAATATACCATGAAACTCAGTGTTGAGAATTTGTCTGCGAGAAATATGAATCTTCTGTTGCCAGTATCGCAAAATTGTATACATTTTTGTTAAGTCGCGGTGCCGTGAGCGCATATTGTTGTAATCTGTCAGATCTTATGCGGAAGAAGAAAGAAGTCAGACTCTTATTAGCAACTTCCTAGGAAATCCTGAGATAAGTAGCATCGTTCATGAAGAACGTGCGCTCTGAGCAGTAACGCTGGGTGTCAAACTCGGAGGTCACTTTTTTATTAAGAACTTTGATCCACTAAAGGGAACAACAGGGTTCAAAGTTGAGGTGCGCATCTAGCGATTGCAAAAATAACGATGCTAGTTTTCGTAAGCTGAAGCTATGCCACACCTCTGCATATGATTTCATCGCTTAGAAACGATGCCTTCTTATATGCAAGGAACATAGGGGAACAAGAGAACTAAATGCGATTAAGATGAACGTGGGGTGTTCCAGAAGTATGTGCGCACTGTTTGATGCCTGATATCTCTTGTTTCGAGCGCCACTTTGCAGTTCGATTTCGGAAAATTTACGGTGTACATCGGAAAATTGCTTCTCCTGCCCAGGATTAGTGTGAAAAGTTCCGCTACTATAAGGTTGTCCCATAAGTTTTTTCATATTCGGACCTTCTATTCGATTTTTCTCAGGAACTACAGCACCTAGTAGGCTGCAAATATTTGGCAGTAATTCTGAGCGAATAAGCTATATAATCACCTACTTGTGGGGAATACAGAAGTGATACAGGCAAAGTTTGAAAATCGAGCGCATTATTTTTTTCTTGGTTTCTAGCCATCAGAAAAATGCAGCAAGTGCATTTATAAATATCCGATGAGGAGAGTATATGCATGAAAAAATAGGAAATTTGCAGAGCTGTTTTGAACTGAGATATGATGATTTTCGTTTTTTCGGAAATTCGGGAAAATTTTTTATTTTGGTTTGGAGCATGTTGCGGATTGAACTTGGTGCGAACTTTTGAATGCCATCTTGTAGAGCTTACTTTGATCTGTCGAATGGTGCCCTGCAATTTATCAGGAGTTCAAGAAGAACTGATTTATGTCGTTGAAAAGTCAGGTATGAAAAGACTTATGGGACAACCTAATAGGTAGTTTCCCAAAAATCTTCAGAAATATCTATAAGCTTCACTAAAGGAAAGGCTGATTTAACACGCGCTTTGTTGACATCAAGAAAACACAACTGTACATTTTATTTGAATCAACTTCTGGAAAGAGACTATGGTAATGTGCAAATTCTATATATAGAGTTCGACAGATTTAGTATGAGAAATCAGATTTTTTTGAACTCCTCCTGAGAGCCTGGATGACTAGCACCATTTTAAAGTAGTTTTCGACATAGTAACGAAGAGCGATCGATGATTTTCTTTATTTAGTGAATTTGAGTTAAAATCGTCCTGAATGTTTCGCAAAAGCAGGATAAAGAGCGGAGCAGAAAAAATCAACGACTTATTCTCAATTGTATACTTTTGGCACACTTTATCGAGAGATTCCCGAACTTCCCGAGTGCTCGACGTTTCGAATCGCTAACAAAATCTGGATCAGAACTGGCGCTCTGCTTTAGGTTGAGATGGATGTAAATGAACTCATTCTTGAACAACCATAGCATATGGCACATCGACGTCAGACCTTTTCTCCAGACATTGAAAAAAACTCATAAAAAAGGCTTCTTACAGAGCTGCAACTCGCAACGGAAAGCATATCGAATTACATTTTGCTTACGTTGAGCATTGTCGTCATAGTCCATAGTTTCAATGTAGTACGGTCCGAGCAAATTTTTCGAAGGGAGGGGAGAGAATGGGGGGGGGGGGGACGACGAAATTTTTTCGAATGAACGGGCGAATGAATTCGGGCAGCCTTTGAACAAGATTTTGAGATGGCTTTCGAATTTGGCCGGTTTGTACTCCCGAAAACTTCTTCTGCTTTGGATTTTATTTCAGTTACAAGCAGAGAAGTTAGATGCAGATTTTGGAACTGATGAGTACTTCCAAAATTTTGTGACTCTTTCTGGTTGGTGGGGGGGGGGGGGGCATTGTTTCACTGATAACTTTGCACTGTTTATTTGCTAGACGGACGCATTTGGCAGCTTTCCATCAACTCTCCAGACAAGAGAGTGCAACAACCAATTCGTTTCCAGCCAACAAATAGGATGCTATTAATTGAGTAGGGCACAATCTGTTTTGCTGTTCGAGAGTTTTGGTCATAGACCGAGGGCTTACGTATTTCTTGCTGTGTTAGAATTACAGAAAACTAGCCTCTTCAAAATCGTCCATAACGATGCTTCGGTTCATACTTTGCAAACAGCGCTGAATCTGCTAGGAAATCAAAAGCCAAAAATCTGCAGAGACATGACCTAAGCGAAACTTTTCGCACTATATACATTGGTCATTAATGTGTCCCCGTCTAGTCTTTTCGGTCGAGGAGATCCTTAGGAGAAAACATGACAATTGGATGCGAGTATCTGATAAGCAAAGATTAGCATCGTCGTGACGCAACACATGATGTTGACATCGAAGTGATTGTTTATAAGCCCAGAATTCTTGCAAAACGCCTTGTCACCCAGCAAAAGAATGCTAAACAAGGTCATGTATTTAAGTTTTGAAAGTTTTGTTGAACACAGCGTCAACAAGTGAAAGCCGTTGATCATCGAGCTTTGCGAATTGAATTTTTTTTGCAGAACACGAGTGTCTACGTTAGTATTCTATCGTTGATGTTCATCACATTTGAACGATGGCGAGCGATTACATGTCCGCTGAAGAGTCCACTACAAACGACGAGGTACATCATTGTTGGTGAGTTCAACCTATCTTTCGTCGCTATGTTTACACTTTCTATTGTTCAAGAACATAGTCTAGGATTTCGCATACACTGCCCTGTGATAATGAGGTTAAGTTAAAGTATGAAGCCAAGAAACTACTGGTGGTGAGGTGATCAGTCAGCACCTGAGTCTGCGGATGAAAACTGAAGAGTTATGTTCGTGCTACCAGCTCAGTTCGAACTAGACTACCATCTTTCTGATTTCATTTTGAGGTCATGAAAGAAATATTCTCAAAGAGCACCTTTTTCGCAAAACCTCATACTCGTTTGTAATCAACCCTCCTTGATTTCGTTCGAAAAGCTACAGTAATTCCGCCACTACTGCAAAGTCGTCCTAGGTCGATAGCGGCGGTCCAAGACATTCCGTTTGGGGAGAAGACAAGCAGAATAAAATATTTGAATGAAGGGGAGAAGAGTAGCAGCGCCTGTAAAAAATTTTGTTAGGCTTCCCAACTTTTTTCTAATCCGAAATCTTCATCCCCAAAGAATTCTTTGGGGTTGAAGAGCCAATGTGAATTTTCAGAAAGTTTCAAAGATCCTTCAATTGTTTTTACAAATAAAGTTATCTCCACTATTTCACACCTCATGTAGGGACTTCCATCTTCGCTATCCACTCTCGAAGTGGGAAAGGGAGAGGGGGAGGGGGGGGGGGGAGCCAAGTAGTAAAGCCAAAAAATGTTTGTGTGCAACTCCAATAACAGATTTTACGTTTTGAGCATCTCAGTCATTTTGTGGAGCACTTAAACATCAGATTTAATCTGATAAAGATGTGACTTTTCAATTTTGGACCGAATTTTTTTCAGGAACTTGGATTGTGGCAATGCTAATGTCTTCGCCAGAACCGTACACTCTTCACTTAAAACGGGCCGAATTTCGACGGCCAAATTTTTCGTCAACGGTAAGGTTGTCCATGTCTGCGTTTTCAACTTGTAAGGAAATATATTTAGTGGGGAACCCGCTGCATCGCTTCGTGGTCTAGTGAAACAGAGCAGCAATATCAAATCGTGCTCACAACATGTGCCTATTTGTCACCATTGCTATTCATCTCAATACTCTGCTTACATATGAGCAGAACGCTGAACAAGTGTGAAGTAACGTGAGTTCTTTAGTCATAAATCGAAAATAGTAATATTTAAAATCCATACCATGCGTTTCGATGGAGGCTACTTTGGTAGTTGACCTACAATAACCAGTATAATAAGTGTTTAGTCAACTTTCTTGAACTCTGAGCAAGCTTAGCTCTGCTCTCATTCTCAAAACTCCCTAAACAAACTGATAGCTACGAAAGGAGCCAAATCGTTGACCCGCTGAACCAGGCTATGACGACCTTGTGGAATTTCAGGGTCGGCAAGCGACAGCTAGCGAACCGAAAGAAAGCCGTTCGAATGCTCATCGCCGTCGTCTGTCTCTTCGCCCTATCGTATTTGCCCGTCCATCTGCACAACATCGCTGCGTGAGTTCACCCTAGCCTCGAACACCACTTCTAAGCTATCATAACCATTTATTTAGGACTTTTGATTTACTCGGTCGTGACGTCAATATGAATTGGATTTATGTGCGAAAGCTATTGCCACGGGTGTTTAGCTACTCTTCAAGCTGTTTGAATCCGTTGCTCTACAATTTTATGTGCAGTAAGTCGACTCACTTTCACATTTAGATTTATTTTCTATCTGCAAGAGTATATTTACACGTACGAATCCCGTCAGGAAAAGTCAATCTGATTTTACAAAACATCAGAACATCAACAAACGTGTAACAGACATAATAAAAGAAGATGACAAAGCTGAGGCCAGACAAGGGACACTGAGACAAACAGGGGGCGGTCAAGGAACTAAGCTAGCCACTATGTGAGACACGTTTTCATTGACGAGTCCACAACTACTAAAAGCGATTTTGACCTAGCCCTCCCAGATTTCAGAAAATGCTACTTTTGCAAGAAAAAATAAAAAAAATTGGTACCACCCCTCGTCACATTACGCTGAAGAAGATACAAAATTATTATATGAGGCAAACAAAGAGACCAACGCATCCTATTCGTCACCTATCATGGAAAACCGGATCGTAAAAAGCTCGAGAAAACTTAAGAAAAAGTGCAATTATAACTATGTTAACTAGGTGAAAACTGTGTCCAAAAAATCTACAGTGCTACCAAGGAACACACTTACAAGCAGCAATTTCAGGTCGCTTTCGAAAGGAATTCGCTCGCGTCATGTGCTGCACTGTAAGTGGTAGGAAAGGAAGTGGAAGCAGCCGCAAGCTGCCTACCTCCGAGCGACTGATACACTTCTCGGAGAACATGCGGGTGGCGCAGAGCTCCATACTTTGATGTCTTTCGAGTCCTCTCGCGTGCAGAGGTTCAGCGGCTCCTCGTTCTCCTCTTGCTTGATCTCGGTTTTCACGCTCGGCTCGCTGGAGACAGAGCGGGGAGAGAGCAAGCAGACTGGCGGCTTCTCCAGAAGCGACGCGATGGACGCGTGCCTTTCGCGGAATGACCTCGCCGGAGACGACACATCGACGGCCACTGGCGCAGGAATCGGCACGCACGTCGGAACCGGCGGAGGTGTTCGGAGCCGATCGTTGTGCCACATTCGGAGAGTGCGAACATCGGCCAGCAGCGAAGGTGCGACCGCCAGCGTAGCCGGGCCGCCGACTCGCGCCATCAACCACCATAGCCGTTCGACCAGACGTGTGGACAGCGACGGAAGCGGCAGCAGCACATCTTGTTGGCAGACTGCCAAGGCCGTCAGCAGAGAAGCACAGCCAACCGGCAGTGTCCGTAAGCGGTGCGAGAAGTGTGTCAGTGAGTGCGTCAGCAGCGGTGAAGCTGGCAGCGCCGTCTCTGCGCCAGGACCTCGAGATGCGGAAGCCAGTAGGAGCACGTCGAACACGCAACTCTGAAATTACTAGGCTTTTTTTTCATTCTGCGGGTGTAACACGAGCTCAATACTGTGATACTCTTGGGTTATTTATGTGTTGATATGTTGATAAACATTGCATTTCAAAGTCTTTCACCTCAAGAAACCAACCTTCAAAAGCTGGATCCTATCTGCTTGTGCCAAGCATAGAAATCCGGGAATTGTGTTTGCAAAGTCAACAACAGCTTTGATTGCTGTCAGATATGAATGAAACTGCAGCGGACAGCGACCGTTCGGTAATGGGACAACGCAGGTTTCGACCTAAATTACAAGAACTAAGTGAATCATAAGAAACAGCATCGTTGCCAGTCACGGTCTAAAATGATATTGAGCACGCAAAAGTGGCTAAATTTTGGTTAAAAACTTAAATTCCAGAGACTTACATGAGTCTGAATTTCTCTAAATCAAAGACATTATTACAAGACATCGCAAAATTTTCAAAAATTTACAAATCTCACGCACCGTTCCACATAGCAACGTAAAAGCAGCGGCTATTCTTTCAATGGCATCCGCTTCGTTCTCGAACTGGACCGCTAGAGCATCAAGCTGAGACTGAGCCGATGTTCTTTGCATTTCTTCCACCATCTTTGCCTTCTCTCGTTTAGGGACACGTCCGAAACGAACAGCTGAAAACATTTTCGATGCCTCTGATATTGATCAAGCTAATCGAGCTGGAAACAGATACTATTTTTGCATGAGTGTCTGCACGCGGAAGATGTAGTAGTGATATTCATTCGAGCGATTTAATATCTTTTAGATGATGCAAACGATATGAGCAAAGATTACACTCCCAGCTATCGAAACGCTTAAATGGAACGATGCGCTTCTCTTTCAACGTGTAACCCGCTTCGCCGCTAACCTCTGTCTGCTTTCGACCCACTTTGTCGTAAAACTGAGTTGCGCGGCAATTTCGATATGATTCGCAGAGACGTGCGAGTTTTTTTTCGATTCGACCGGCATTCGCCGTTCGTCCTCCCGCAGGACGCGAAACGAACACGATCAAGGTCTCCCCTAATTAGCATAAACTTAGTCGCACTGCCGTTGTCAAGGCCAGCAACAGCGGGCGAGCTGACCCGAACAGGACGACATGAGCGAGGATACAGCCCGCGACAGTTCGAGAGGGAGGGATGGGTTGCTAGTTGCGACCCACGGATGCTCTGATCGTTTTTCCCGTGCGGGCCTTCAAAAATACAAGAGGCATTTGCTTGAAAATCGAAAGCACAAGGTCAAAGTATAAATCTACAGCGTTCTCCAGTGAACTGTTCACTAGTGATGAATAATAATGATGCTAGCAGATGCGTCTGACCGTGTACAGCCAATTACGCCAAACCATTTCTGAGTCAAGTGGAGAAAGCTACTCCAAAGATGAGGCTTTGTACAAGGAAAAGAAACAGAATAGAGGTGCTAGAAATCACTCGGTTTGAAGACCACATCAGGCTACGATAGTACACGGTACAGAAACAACAAACAAACTCAAAAGATCACAAGCTTGTTAGGATCAATGCGCAACTTTTACTGGCTATGCATGCAAAAATATGGAGAGCACATAATTTTGGAGCACAAACAGAACAAATTTACGTGAAACAATTTAAAAAACCCTCTCTCCCACATTTTCCATGCGAATTTCTGTCGAACTATCGAATTTTTCACTACGGGGCAATTTAGAGCTCTACGACCAGCACCTTTACAAAAGCGAGGATCGGGGCGGAGTGAGGCAATCAGAGAGAAGACGAAGACGTAGAAGAACGTAGAAAAAAGCCCGAGAGACCTTCAGCGAACGCCGCGCACGGCTAGCGATGCTAACAGAGCAGCGTAAATCGAACCAGCGCCAAACTGTAAAATCGAGACGCGTTCAGTGTGGTGGCGGTGGTGGTGGCTACATTCCTTCGCCGGTGATCAGTCAGAGTTAGCAAAGGCGCCCTAGAAACCGCCAGCTGAAAGGCGAACACCGAAGAATGGGTGCAAAGGTATTTGAGATAATGCAGGTAGTTCAGTGAACACTAGGGGACGAGAGCTGGATCATTCGAACTCGCAGGAGGAATCAATTAGACATGATTTGGCCGCAAACTAATTCTTATTTCATATTTCCTGGAAGAACATCCTCTACTCCCTTCTCACCCCCTCACGTACGCCACTCCACAAAAAATCCCCACAACAAATGTCCGCCATCAAAATTTTTGCGTAATTTGCCAGTAAGAAAAAGAAATGAATTAAACAGAAAAGTTACTTGTTATCATATGCATACTCCGGATCGGATTGCAACACTAATAAATTGAAGATTCTTAGAGTAATGATGAACAGATTCTTTTGAGAAAAAGCTCGAAAATGATTCGACTGACCGCTCTTGATTTATTGCAGAAGAACTGCCTGTCACATACCGTATTCCAAAATGAAAAGATGTGACTACTTGCGTTTTATCTATACCAAGATGGCTGGAAAGAAACATGCGCTGAACAATAAAACCAAAAAATGGAAGGCGAGATAGGACATCAGGTCAATAAAATTTCTTCTCGGTTTCCATGCCATCTTGATGGAACCTCGCTTCCATTGGCTAGTGTTCGATGAAGACCTAGTTTTCGCTTAATGCTTGTTTACGTTCATTGTCTTACAGGTAATTTCGAATGCGGTATCTTTGATCGTCTTGCCAACATTGCTGTTTCCAAAACGGCTTTATACACGATCTATAACTTCGCCGAACTTTGGAAAAAACCCTTTTTAATGCATAACTACACATACATAAGAGTAACAGCTTCCTCAGGAGGTGAAATTCATTGAATTTGACGGACAAATATACAGAAGCCTTTTTCGACGAGAGTTAGTCATTCAAAGAATAACAGATGCTGTCCAAAAACTAGTGAAAAATTGCGCGAACCCATCTTTGACAAAAAAGAGTTCCTGTTGATTTTTATTTACAGAACAACGCCTTCTAACATCCAGAACAGATCAGCAAATTGTCATGACTGATGAAAATAAATAACGCATAAACTTCACATATCCAGATTCAGCGAATTTCCGCTATGTAACATCCAAAATGCTTATACAAAACATATTTCTCCAAATTTGCCAAAAACGAATCTCTACCACTATTTGTTTCATCTTGAAAGATGTACAATAATATGAGTGAAAGAGTGGACTTCAACACTGGAGTAATTAGGTAAGAATTGAAGCGACTAGTGCTAGCTGCAACTGATGTTTGCACGATGGTTCGACTCAAACTTTATAATACTAGATCTCTATACGCTCATTCATTCTAGTCAGAACATTCTCCCAAAGTTGAATGCGTCTTCGCCATGTACAGCTTTTGCCCCAAAGGAAGTTCCAGATTCTGACTTTGCATTCAAAAGATAAAATGTAATTTCAGGTTTTATTTCAAGGTGGTTTTGCTGTGCACAAATACTTGAGATAGACTTTGCATGGAGATTCCATCAGGCGTACTATTACTATTTCAGCCTAATAACTCTTTTTCGGTAGATTTCCATGCCGGTGATGCAGTCTGGGAAATACTCAACAAGGAATTAAGTCTTCCACCTTCTTCACGACGCCAGCAGCACTGCAAAAAACCCCTGAGAGTAATCTCGAGTTATGACCTCCACTTCCTTCAGCGCACAAGTACATAACACGTATAACTCGTAGGTAATTGCCTCAAATTTCATCTAGAAAAAACCGCGTACAATTAAATGGAAAGTGCATCACCGCACGCTGCTATAATTTTCAATGTTGACAGAATATTTTCGTCTTCTCGATTGATAATGATCTACAATTTTTCAGTGTTAGGGGCCAGCTAAGAACTCACCATCTCGAGACATTCCGACCATGATGCATTTCTTTAGTCGACAGTACTGACAACGATTGCGATTATTGCGAACGATCAAGCACTCCTGACTTCGCGTACATGGGCGATATTGGATTTTCTGTTGTATAGATCGGCGGAAGAAACCCTAAAAATTATAAAGCATGAGTCTCAAATTTTGTTGGCAATGTCATCAGTCAGAAAGGGATCCAAGAGCATTTGTTCCTAGGTTCAATTCCTTGATCTTCCAAGATAGCTTCCATCGAGCAAAAAACAGTGAAAGTTAGCTTCGATATTTCTACGACTAGGTGGCCTTTACCAAGCTATAAAGCGAAAAATCATGCGCTGCCACGAAACCATTGTTTCATCGATATCACTCTCCCTCCATTTCGTTTTCCCCCGACCGACACGAAGCACGTGCGTGCGAAAATAGGTAGTGTACTGGCCCAGATAGCGACAGCGCGCGGCAGACGATTACCTCGATCGGCAGCAACGAACAAAATCGAAGCCACTACGCACAGTTCCATCATCAGATAGCCCAAATGCGAAGGACGACAGGTTGAGGCCGAACTCGAAAACGACAGCACTGGGGGTCTCGCTTAAATTCCGGCCGCTTGAATGGTGAGAGAGGGCTGATTTTAGGGGCCGAACACAAAAGGACCGCGCTGCGGGTACTGCCCAAATTCCCGGCGCTCCAACTGCGACCGATTTGATATCTTAATAGTTCTATGGCTACCAACGATATGCATTTGCTCCAGTAATTCATATATGAGACCATGAAAGTAGCTCTCTTTCAACACTATGGTAATCGCGTCATTGGCGCACAGTAATCGACCACTTTCGAGCGAAAAAGAGAATGTCTGTCGTAAATCGACAACGATCTTTCTACTTCATCAGTCAACGCCGCGCGCGAGTAGAATAGCCAGCGAAAACGGCTTGTGACCTAGTTAGCTTACGTCGCGTCACTGCTTACGCTTACGTAAGCGGATCGAACTGCGCGAAAGCGATGAAAACACTGGGTCATCGGACTCATTTCAATTCGCTCGGGGAAGGGAATGTATATCCTGGCAGTCCCAAGCCCACATAGTTGTCGACCCAAGCACATCTGTGGTGTTCGCCTCTGAGAGCCATACACACACGGACACTTAACCTTGTCCGACATTACCAACGAGAGCGGCAGCGGCGACGCGGCGATGCACACCGCCAGCGTCTGCGATCACTCGGCGTTTTTCGTCGCGCCAAAAAGCGTCGCTACATAATGGACGTCGGCTGTAAGAGAAGGCCACGGTGGGGATAGTGGCATGCGAAAGCGCAGCGCCCCGTACAGAGCGCAACCATCGAGCCCAGCCAGCGAACCAGTTCCCTGCCGCCGCCAGGGCAGCGGGACACCGATGATGCTTTTGCAACTGACAATGCACGTACATGCGCGTGTGTATGTGGGTGGCAACACTCACCTTGCATCCCTCACAAGCGAACACGCCGTAGTGGAATCCGCTAGCCTTGTCCGAGCATACTTGACAGAGCAGAGTGGTGGCCGAGAACTCCTCGTTACAGCCTTGAAAAAAAAAGATAGCACTCGAGCTAAAAAAGGTTTCAGAAATATTTTGTACACTAAAAATCTTGAGAAATCTCAATCAAAATACTCAGAAGAAACTCTCACGTACATATGGACGGACACTGCTATAAATGTCCACATAAAGTAAGCCCTTCCCTACACCTGATAAATGGAATTAAGGAACAAAATTCCAAGCTTACTTTCGTCAGTGGAAGTCGTAAGTACTGAAATTTCGAAAAAACTTGTGCATACTACTTTACTTTGTTGTCCTTCCAGAAATTGAAACTGCATTGAAATCAAAGAAGAAAATCATATCATGGTTTAGTAGATAAGGTATATGAATTTTGTAACTGGAAGATTCGAGTACGTTTTGCACACATTGTCAAAATAAGCTTAATCGTGCGGTTTACAAGCGTATACTAGTGATCGCGATCTCGTCTGGGGTTTACTATTCGGAAACAAGGAAAAGCAAATACTGTACGACTCATTTAGACAATGTCCGCAAAGCGTTTTCAAGTCCATAAATCAAAACAAATGACACCTTCAGTTCAGAACAGATGTTCTTTTTAAAAGGAGTGTCCTCAAACTCATCTGCTAGTCGTTTGCTAATTTATCTTTTGTAAACATTTCGAACTACTTCCATCTCACAGCTGAGTCGAATTTATGCCACATCCGACGCGTCCATCATGCTATGACCTTTTCTTGATAATGCTGCTGCCGTTTTTTCAAAAACATCTCGTGAATTCTTCGTTTTCGCGCGCAAAGAGCCGTCGCTCTCTTCTCGAACAAAGAAGGAACGCGAGGACAACGTCGATGGCTGTTGCTGACATTGTGTGTGCCGTTCACATCGCAACGATTAAGAGTGGAGTACAGTACGCAAGATTTGGTCCTATGCTTCGCTTGTGAACAACGATTCGAGTAGAAGGTCTGTAAGAAACCGCGATTGCAGATGGGGCAAATAGCCAGTCTGTCGACCATGGCCGAACAGCATTATTTTCTTGCCAGATCTACCAAACCTATGTAGTATTCAGAAACAACGAGGTACAATTTCGACTGGTGGTATCCTGTTCATACGGCCTATGTTAGCGGTAGCTTCAAAATTGCAACCCTTTTAGAAAAAACGTATGGGCAGAGGAGATGAATGGGCTGTATGGCACACTTTCCGAAGCCAGAAGAAAACCGTAAAAGAACAACGGTGCCATGTTGGTCGGAATAATCAACGTTTGAGACTTGCTCCTCCTTTTTGTCTTTGGTTGACTTGGGCCTAAGTTACTCGACGTTCAACTTCCAAAGTCGGTGTTAAACGTTATGAATAGTTTAGCTACACTGAAATTTCCCGGGTGCGGCGTCAGAAGAGGACGTTTTGCTCCGACTCCCGCAACTTCCGCTCAACAAGAAAACTTCGAATGTTACGCCAAATCCTTACTTTCCAATTACCATCTGCCAAACACATCCTCCTCCTCTTTACTGCTACTATTTCGAGGGCTCCAACAAGCTGTAGAGAATTTTTTCTTCTCTTTCTTCACCTCTTGCAATGACCCTCCGCAACACCTAAGTTGAGTAGAGTGGGCAAGACGCGCTCCACTTGTACTTTCTCGTTTTGAAAAGGACCGGATTTGATTGTGCGAGCCACGAGATGCGTCTCAGCGCGAGCATTGACCCAATTCGCAACCAGCTCCGCGCTGCACCGACGTTCAATGTAAACGTGCAAGTGTTCTAGAACAAAATGGCTTCCCTCACAACGATCGCTCCTGAATTGTGCTCGTATCACCTTCGTTTCTATGTGAAGAAGATGGACATCTGATCAAAATTTGGTAGCCACAACCTTTGAGCCGAGGGTGCTTCACTCACAGATCGTCGGTGCACTTTTCATACAGATGAAAGTGCAATCAACTAGTATTCGAATGCGAAATTCGTTCTAAGCGAACAGGCGAAATGCGCGCCAACGTTGCGAAGTGAACAAAGGAAGTACGGTAGCAGAGTCCACCGATGTTTGTGAACCGACGGACTGCCTAAGAAAAACTACTGAAAAGCAGGCGGTAATGGCATCTAAATACGAGTCGTTCCCATTCATGTAGTGGATAAGGCAAAGCTGGAATCATAGAGTTACTGAATTTCTTAGAGGATGATGCAGTCGCGTTAAATTGTAAGAGCAGTGCTCCCACATCGATGTAAAAGAATCCCACAAAAGCAAGCTAAAAGAAAGAAGTCCCGGTCACTAAATAAAAACTACGAAGCGAAAGTGTAAGCAGTAAGAAAACAGAAGGATTTTCCTCACATGTATGCCCCTCTCTGCAAGAAAAACAAATCTCGTTCGACTGCGTTGAATGTAGTACGCGGAGCTGTGTTTTTTCCATGGCCTGATTTCGTTCAGGTCCTATGTGCCTGAGTTTCAATCATGTCTCGAATTCGAATAAACAGGGTAGATGAAAGGTGGAGATCGAAAACGGCGTCCTTGTCAGCAGCGGTAAATGAGCGCACCACCAGCGAGCATCACGTGCGAAAGTCGGTCAAGTTCAAGTTCGGCGCGACACTTCGACAAAAAAGAAAACGAGCGAAAAAGAAGACTCGACGAAGACGACGGCGACAAATGAGAAACGTAGGTTTACAGGGATTACTAGTGAACACTTTTGAGGTGGCCTCCAACTTCAGTAAAGAAGATCAGAGCATCGGAGAGGTGACTTGCCAAGCGACTCCGAAACTTCATCGTTGATCCACTGGTCTACAAGGACATCGACTGTCTAACACACATCTTCACGCACTCTAGCGAAGAGTCCACGTCAGCTTCCGATGCCGATGTTGCCTTCCGATGTGGCGAACGAATGACCCGAAAAAACAAAACAACAAAGTGCAGATAGTTATTTGGGACATAAACAAGCCCGTGAGTCGCAGTCGCGTCATGCGCAGCGCAAAGATATCCGAAATGGAACTAGGCTAACCTTAGCCATTGAAATGACTCATCTTTGGCGCACAACATGGTCTTTGATGCCTTATTGTCCCAGATGGACTCTGCCTTCCAAAGACCCGAAACTATCGTGCATGCAGCTTTAAATTAGCAGATTTTATCAAATTATTTAGCAACAAAAAAAAAACAATTGAACTGGTTTCGAATAAATTCTAACAACTTCAAAGGAACACACACAATCACGCGCCCGAATTGAGAGTTAATCGTATCGTAATAAATGCGGTTCTATATCGGCAACTAATCGGACAGCGATGGGCAAATGTGAATAGTGAAACGAAAACCGTGTCAAACTTTGGCCTTGTTAAAGGCCTTGACTGGAACCAATAAACAATATATATATATATATATAAGTCTAAAGACGTTTTAGGAGAGCTAAAGCATTGCGCTTATATGGCACATAAATCTGTGGAGGACATCCAAATTGTAATTTATTGCCTAGCCTATATTCATCATATGGCAAAGGGAACCGAAATCATACTATTCTCACACCGATTGGGAATTTTCCAATCACGTAGTGAATAAAGATCCCCCCCCCCTATTGAGTAAAGCTTGAGTGAAGCTATAGAAACGCAAAGACGCCCACATCAAGAGATCAAGGAGTTCGGCAGCTTACAGCATCACAATTTCAGAATTTTCTGAGATGTTTTTAAGGTTTCTACTAAAAAAATAGTACTGACCTCTATCCGATGACGAGTGGTTGGAGTCGCTGGCCGAGTCATCGCTTGGAGATGACAGTACGAATGAGTGAATGGCGGAGAGGAAAAATGAATCGCCACCGATGGCATTCGCATCATTTGGCGACAGCGTGTGCGGGACGATGGGCCGAAAAGCGGAATTTGTCGCCACCTGAATGGGGCTGGCTAGTTGCTGAGGGCTCGACAGCTGAGCCTGGGTTGATGTGGTGGCCACCAGAAGCGATGTCGCCGGCGGCGCCGTAGTCTCAGAAGCTGAGGTGGTCGTCGATGAGGATGATGATGACTGCGAGGGGTGCTGCTGGGCCACCGGCAGCTGGCTGCCGGGCAATTGGGCAACGGGTCTTGAGACCATCATAGCGGGGTTAGAAGATCAATGGATGAGGATGAGGTGAAAGTGGGAGGTGAAATTCAGTGAATCACAAGGAATGGGTCACCGGCGCACGACTGCCTGCTGCCAAACTGTGCGAGCGGACGATCGTGCGCCACAAGGTCATCATGCTACGCTAACACGCCCACCACACCAACCCCTTCACCACCAGGAGCTCAACACCGGTGGTGAAAGCGGTGAAGTAGCAAGGCCTAAGAGTTCAAAAAAATTTGGCAAAGTTATTACCTAGATGTGAATAGATAAGTCAAAAAAGTGCATATCACAGAAGGGTTGCCTGCATTTGATGTGAAGTGATAGAAATTAACTATATACACCATATACAAGTATGCATCACTACCCGAGAATTAGAAACCTAGAAACTTATACGAGGCCTATTGCATAGTCTCCTCATTCAAAAGTGAAGCTTCATCTTCTCCATCTGATGACCGAGTCGTTTCAGAAGCTCGAGTTGGTGAGCTCCTATGGTCCAACACGGCTGCTCCGATGAAGGACAAGGTAATCGGGATGGCAGCAAAAAGTTGAACCATAGAAGGTGGTTGGGCTCGAATCAAAGTGTCGGCTAGGAAAGAAAATGGAATCGCCAACGTCAGTGAGAGTGACGCCGACAGTGAGTCAGTTAGTCCAGCAGCGGTCAGCCAAAGGTAGTCGCCAAGAAGTGTACCTGAAAGACAAAGCGTGACAAATTCGGAAAATCCTACTCTTTAGAAAAGGAAAACTAGTTCGAGCGATGGGTTTTTTTGAGCAATGTAGTAGCTTTTTAAGCATAAGTGAAATCGATGGAGGAGCTTGTCATGGCGCAAAATAAGATTATGACTCACAAATTAAAAAACTAACAATTTCTGAATTCCAGGTAGTGTATTAAAGCGGCATTTATTTCGCACCTCGCAATTTGGAATGGGAATAGGGTTGTTGTAACATGAGCTTTGAACTTTCAAAGAAAGTGTGACTGGTATGAATCGACGACAAGTAAAACCATTTTTACAGTTCTTGCACTAGCCTGCATAACAAAGCTGATTTCAAGCCTTTCTTTGACAAGCACTGGCCAGAGCACCTCAAGCTGACAAATGATGGTTCATACTAGTAAACCCCTAGCCGACTAATTCAGAATTTCTCGATTTGCTCCTGTCAATCTTGAAAACAAAAGTCAGAAAAGTCTCACCAAGAACAGCGGAAAGAAGGACGGATCGCACTTGTTCGCCATCAGGAAACGGGTGAAGCTTCTCAACGTCGAAGGCGTCAAGTGCAAAAAGCAGTGGCGTTCCGGCCACTACAGACAGCAGACCAATAGACCCTGCAAAAACGCTGAAATAAATTCTACAAATGGAATGTATGCTGAAGTTTGTAGAGTTTACCGGCTGCGCTTAGTATTATTCACCTTCGTTTTAGAATATGAAAGAAGTAACGATGGTCGCTGATAATGACGCCAATTGCTGCGGTAAGGTAAAAATTTCCCGTTACCTTTGGTAATTCATTGTAAAAGATCTAATATGTTCCCATATGTAGAAACGCAAACAACACGAATCTGAATATTTGGCGGTCTTTTTTTGCAGAAAAAAACCGCCACATTTCTCAGATCCGTGTTGCCTTGAGATACAAATGTATCATAAAAAATGGACCAAACTTCGCACACATAAGCCTTTGGAAGGGGCGTATAATGCTATTCCCGCTAAAAATTATTGACTGTCTGCAATATTATTGTCTTGTCCTTTTTTTTGCTTAGCATTTCTTTTATTCCGGAAGTGATAAAAAGAGTTATGAAAATGTGCAAGTGACTTGTTTATACGTATAAATATTTCAAAATTCAAATTAGCATTGTGATATTTTTTCTAGGACGTGGCTCGTCACGCCCCCTTTTCCTGAAATTTCGGGGTCATGGCTCGCAAAAATCTTGGGAAGTACCTCAACAAAAAATTCCTAGTGCGTGGCTAATGGGGTGGAGGAAGGAACACCTCAACTAGGCACCGCCTCCGCGGACCATTGGTCCCAACATGATGCATAACAGTAGGACGAAAGGACCACAAGGCCGCGAGGCGATGCCTAATTGAGGAGTTCGTTCTTCTACCCTTGCTAAGGCCACGCACCTTCATTAAAGAAAATTTTTGTCCCCCCCCCCCCCCTCCCCCTCCTCCCCAGCCCCATCCGAAAGGAAATCCTGGGTACGCAATGGGCAGAGGGGTGGGTAAGTGAGCATGCTGATTAGCAATGGTATCTTCATTACCTTAGTCAAACTCTTGATTTACCGATCTCTTGAGATAAACAATCGACTTTACATTGACAAAATCAGACTGGAAATGAGACTTTCAAATTCTCGCCAAAAAAAAAGTTTTTGCCGCGTGGTAGCAGCAAAGCAGCTTTTTCCAAATGTAAATAATCCCTGAAGCCATTCTATAGACACACCAGCAAATTTGCAAATAATTCACGACATGCATAATCATGAGTCATGTCTACACCTTCTAAGCCAGGCACCAGCTGGTAGCTTGGCCGTCACGTCAAGAGTAATGAGGCGAAACATATAGAAGCATCAAATATAATGCACAATGCTCAACTGTCAACGATTCCATGAGATTGGGTGCACATATGATGATAATTTAGATCCTCTGTTCCCGAAAAATTTGTCCATCAAAATCGAATGAATTTAGATTCCATATCAACGCAGCGGTGATTTTCGTTCAGGGGTGGAGAGGGGGAGGGGGGACAAAAATGATACTCCAAAAATTTCTTTGGGATACTCCCCAAAAACTCTGCGGGCCCATAGCGTCGCCCGGTATGCACGCGTTTGATGATAAAACCTGGCCTTAATTATCAAAATCGAGATCCTTTCGCTCGCAAGGACTTTTCCATGGGTTATAGTAGTCTGTGGGTCAAGATCACAAGCATGAAACTTTGCTACAAAATGCATGCCGTACAAGTTCAGAACAAAACTTCGAGACAAAACTTTCTACATGGTCACCGTGGCTACGATTAAATCAACTAAACAATCCTACAAGAAAATTTTGAAGACTGAAATTTAATGCTTATTGGTTCCGAATGCTAAGCGGGATAGCCCAAATAAAGTTCGTTATCACTTTGATCAGCGGCTTGGAAAACACCGTCGATTATATACATCCAAAAAAAACAGATCATGAACGTTATGAGCGTTACTGTGATCTTGGACCTCGAATTTAGTGACAGAGCGACCAAAAAGCTTGTGAATAAAGACAATCATCGAAATTGCCTTTCCTTACTACACGTTGATAAGAAAGCTGCAGTTGTAGGCAGAGCGAATGAGCCCAAAACTTTTGAATTCAAATCTGTCTTACCAGTTGGGCGAATGATCTACATGATTCTTGAAGTAAAGACACAACATGGAGTGAAACTATCTATCAACTGAGAACAGTGGGTATGCTTCAAGACAAAACGATGGACGGAAGGTTGACAAAAAGAAATTTGGACATCTTTTATTTTATGCGGCTTAAGAAATTGACTGGCGTGAAAGTGAAACCAGTGACAGCAACACGGCAGCGTTATAGATGCTGTAAAGGCAGTCAAAACGAATTCAATTTTCACCCACAATCTCAGCACATTTCAGATGAAACTTGTAATATCCCTCTCATTCTTCGCTGCTGACCATTACTCTACCTTTGATGATGTACAGTAATCTTGTATTTGATGCTGCTTTTTCAACTTCTTCTATATAATGCTAAATTTCGCTTACACATTAACAGGAACTGTTAATTGCGAGTTTATGAATCGCATGCATTATTTTATCTTAAGTAGTGCGACCCGTCAGAATAGTAGGGAAAGGCACTAAATCGTACCGACGTTCTCAGAAGAGATGCATGTTCTCCGAAAGGATTCCAAACGATGATCCAAAACACTTCCTTCAATATCTCGCCCTCCTAGAAGAATCATGAGAATTTCGCTCCTGTCGCAGTTCAGAATCTTACCGGGCAGACATACCCCTTCCTAAAACTTCCGTGCTTAGTATTCTTCATCAATTAGCGTCGCCAGGGAACGTAATTCAAAGTTTACCCCAGTATTAGCGATGTTCGAAGGAGTTGTAGGCTATCTTTGGCTACTTGCAAGGACAACGAATTCAGCTGAAAAGATGACTCCAATATGTGCAATCGAAACAGTGCAAAAAGTCACTAACATCATTTTCCTGGGAATGATATTTTTCGATTTATCTCGCAAAATGTCTCGCATATTTATGGATCTGATTCAGAATTCTGAAGAAGTCAAGATAGCCTCAAAGGATTTTGCAAAAACTCGTTCACTGTGCCCATCCTATCACTTCAAGGCGAGAAACTGGGCCATTACTGCTCTTGAATGGTACGGGGTCAGTCGGTTGACCTCACTAAACACAATCCAAAACCGCTACCATGCCAAGGACGTCACTAATTAGCATGAAAGGCAGCCATCGACAGCCATGTTCGACGCACAACTACTTATCCAAGTTGCAATCCTGTCAATGGGTGAATCGCAACACAGAAAGAAACTAAGCTACACACAATTCCAAACGGAAGTTGCCATGCTCAGTGAGGTCCCTCTTACTGGAAGACATATCACAAAACCTATCTGGGGATTAGTGGGCTAGAAGGTGGGTTGTAAAGATGTAAAACTATGATCACAGACTGCTCCATAATTTTTTTTGAACACTTTCTTTTCAGCTTCATTCCTTGGACTTCGTCCAGCTAAATTCCAAGTGAGATACTCACTTCGCATTTATAGTACCTCATCCTAAATCTCCCCCAATTCAGATTACATGACAACTATACGAATACATCTACTGGGCATCCCAAAAATGTGCAGGCTGTTTGATCGTCTGTATCTCCCTTCCCACACACCTCCAAGCGAAGGCTATCATTCCGTGGAGCTCGCTTCAACTCAGCTTCGCAGCGAGGAGCAATCACCGATCTTTGGTTACTGTAGGGTCACGATAACAACTTTTAACGTACAGTACCATTGTGATATAAACTGACAGCAGAGGCGTACCGAGGGCGTCCCCCCCCCCCCCCCGGGAATGCGTCGCGAAATTTTTGGAATTTGCTTATATAGCGTGTCCCAAAAAAATGTGCACACTGTTTGATTGTAGATAACTCTCTTGTAATTTAGTGTTCCGAGAAACTTTAGGAACCATTTTGTAGAGCGAGGTTCAACCTAGATTTACAGTGTAGAGCGAATCGCCGATCGCTCATTTTTACTGTAGGATTACGGTAGAAACTTCAGACATATGGAGTCACTGTGAAAAAAGTGGCCGTTTCAAAAATTTTCAAAAAAAATGTGGAAACTTGGTTGGAAGTTTTTCATGGACGCTAAGTTCAATATCCAACTCTTTACAGGGTTGCGAAGCTTTCTAAACGGTGTAACCGCACTTTTTAGGAAATCGAAAAAAAAGGCCGCTATTGCTTACCTCGCATAATTTTTTAATGAAGAATTACGAAAAGTTGCGAATTTCACCTATAGAATCAGCAACTCTAATTAGCCCAGTGTGAGAGTTTTCAGGTCGTTTTGGTTCCTTTTTGAAACAAAATATGGCCTTTCATGGCTCAAAACTCAAAACCCTCTTCAAAGTTTCTACCGTAGTCCTATAGTAGGCATGAGCGGTCGGCGATTCGCTCTACACTGTAAATCTAAGTTGAGCCTCGCTCTACAAAATGGTATCTAAAGTTTCTCGAAACACTTAATTACAAGAGAGTTATTTACAATCAAACAGTGTGCACATTTTGTTGGGACACCCTTATGAGTTATAAAAATGTGCAAGCCACCACTTGTACTAATATATTTTAAGAATTTTTGAAAAAATCAATTTAGCCTCTTGAAAAATTTTTTTCGGGCGTGGGCCACCACATTTTTTTGAAATTTCGGTGTCATGGGTCCGCCAAAACTTTGAGAAGCACCTCGGAAAATTTTTTAGATTGCGTGGCTAACGCCATGCACTTCCGTCCGTCAGAAATAAATTTTCGTAGCCCCCCCCCCTTCAGGTATGTCACTGACTGACAGAAAAAAAATGAAAAGCATCTGGAAAGTTCTGTAGCAGGGTTTTCATCTTGCTGATTCATTCCACAACTTTTTACAAGTTTCCTAAGCTGTTTTATCGGTGTCATCACATTTTTAAAGAACGCTGGAAAACACTTACGGTTCACCTAGTATAACTTAAGGAAGAAATACAAATGCGATGTGAAAATTTCAAACTTGAAATCAGCAACATTTATTAGCCTAGAGTTTTGGCTTGTTTGGTTTCCTTTCTGGGGCAAAATGCGACTCTTAAAGGCAGCGTCCAGGCAGATCTGGACATGGGGATTTTACGTGCAAATTACTTTTGGGGCCCTAACTAAGGCACTGGCCAAGCGGCAGCGCAAGTAATGCTCTAACGGCTGCGATATTCCCCTCGAAACTGGACCCCGCGATCGTATTCGCATGGATTCGTGGCAGTTTCGCCAGGATCCACGCCTTGCGCCATGAATCCATGCGAAATACGATCGCGGGGGCCAGTTTCGAGGAGAATATCTCAGCCGTTGGAGCACTACCTGAGCTGCCGGTTGGACAGTGGCTTAGTTAGGGCTCCAAAATTACTAAACACATGAGATCCCCATGTGTCCAGACTTGCCTGGACGCTGCCTTTAATGGCCCAGAACCTCCGCAAGATTCCTATCGCAGTTCTTCAGTAATGAAGAGATATCAGAGCCATAGTGGCAAAAGACATTGAAGAAGGAAGGTTATTGACGATCGAACGATATGTGCACACTGGATGGTCAGTAATTCTTCAGCTTCATCGTCAATAAATCCTGTGTATACAAAGGGCGTCCAAGAATGTATCTAACGTTCAATTGCTGATAAGTTCCTTGTCTAAACAGCTTATAGGTCTTTTAATACCATATTTTAGAGCTGACTTCACCAATTCATCATAATGTAACGAATTACCGATCCGTATTCACCGTATTCAGGGTAAAATTACTTCGAAGTACTCGGTGACAGCTTGTATAGTACGAGAGCACTGATAAGTCGTTACAAGGTCAGTGATCGTTACAAGGTCATCTGTTGATTCCATATGTGTTTCAAGACTTTAGCGGGACCATAACCCCAAAGTTTGGGAGAAGGAGCGGGCAAAAAACCTATGTACAAAGCTATTTAAGTTTTGAAAAACTCCGGAAATTATTCTAGTTATTCACAACTTGTGTAATGTGTAAGTCACTAGCGCATTTTATACCCTCCCCTTCTGGGTTCGCCACTGGGTAAAATAAAAGTAAATGAAAAATCGAAATCTGAAAAATTTAGTGACTTGCTCTAAACGAATGCAGAGTTGCTTATCAAAATCCGTCGGTCTAAGAAAATGATGCGAAAGCTGATTTAGCTCTTGTGCAACAGATATGCAAGAGAAACTTATGCTAAAGACTCGATATCAAGTAACGGAGGTCTGACGTAAGTGTGAACTGTTTGAGCATGCAAGGGAAACCGAGAGTTCTTGCCCTATCTACTCCTCAGCGACTGCCTAAAGTATCTCTTACGAGGTTGATGCATTTGTGTTGTCTCTGAGAGTGCGCTTACCAAGAACTATGTGCATTCGTAGCGCTGCCCAATAGCGCCGCGAATCACGCGAGGTGTGATCATCGCCATATACTACTTAAAAATTATCAAGACTGATCTAATGATTTGCATTTATATGGCTGCTGCGTAAGTTCTGTCCGATTTGAATTTCTTGAGTTCAAAATGTCATAACTTCTTCCAAGGTCAACTTTTCAAGATCTTGGATATTACGTGTTGGGCTGTTCTTTGGCTATCAGACACATACTGAGACTTGCGAAGATCCTTGTCAAGGAAGACGCAAGAACTCAAAAACTTCACAGCGTTTTTCTTCAAACCTTCCTTTTTTGACATTGCAATGCTCCCTAATGAGAATTGACAGGCATCTTGTCTAACAATGTATAGATAGAGAAATTTTTGCAGATGATTTTGTAACATGAAAGAGCCCATAGGGTCTGCGTTGCCGAAAGATTTTTTGACCAAGCAAAAAAGAAGCCACTTTTTGACCTCGCTTCAGCACATGTGTGCATGCCTACTTACGAATTATGAAAATTTTACAAATGACGTGAGCGCGAGGCGAATTGGTGGATGGGCCCGAAAAGGAACTGGTGGATGGGCCCTGCTAGCTTTTGCTTTACCCTAGCACCTCCAACTTTGAACTCATCGATTACTTCTATTTGAAGTCAATGCTTGTTATACATTTAGTTTGAAAAATCAATGTTCGACAACAGATTTTACTAGCAAGACGTTTTCTTCATGAATTTGAGCTTGTGCACCTGCTAGCCTGTTACACCCCTATTACGCGTCCTGCGATCTTGTTAGATCCAGGACTTTATTATAATTTGGTGTTAGAAAGATCAAGAACACCTTCTAATGATACTAACAATATCGCATCAGAGACAAAATTCTCTTAGAACAGCTGCTTCAAATAAAGACAAAAAAATCGGACAGAACTAATGCAACAGCCTAATATTAGGTTGCAAAGAAAGTTCCCGGGCGCTTGCGAAATTTATTTCAATTTGCTGCAACTTCGAGCAGACTGATCCTTTTTGAAAGCTGCAAACTTCGCTGCAAAGGCAATGTTGTCTACAAATTTTGCTCAATTTGTTGGGTCCTCAGCGCTTCATTTCCAGCCACCAGCACGCGCAGTAGGGAAAATGGTCCACTTACCTGCCTGTTAGTGCAGGAAATTCTCAGGCACGAAGAGAGCTAGATAGCTCATATCCGATAGCTATGTGAAACTCTGCCGGGTCTATTTATAGACTGTGTCACAATTTCAGAGCACAGCCTGTGCAAAAAAAAATTCTAGAAAAAACCAAAAAAATGGCCTTTTGCACCTCAAAAATGCCCCAGTTTTTGGGTACATGAGTTTGAAGTCTTCCTTTTTCCTACGGAATGAATTAAATCTCTGATTGCTGCGAATATTGTCGGGATAATGTCTTGCACATCTTTTGGGCCCATCACGAGGCATGACGATCCTTACAAAATCGAGTCGACTGCGAAAACAGGTACGGTCAAAGGCAAGTCTGAGCGCTTGTAATTTTTATTCGCGTAATGTAAAATCCGAGCACAACCGTGGTTTTAAAGTAGACAGTCTCCTTATTCAAAGTGACCAACAACTTTGAATGGGTTTTTTTATTCACTGCGAAAAAAAAGGCTGCAAAAAGAAAAATTGTGAAATTTTCATCGTTGCACAAACTTCCTTTTTCGTTGTGAAGGTCAACGGCTTGTCATCGATAAAAACTGATTGCAAGTCCAGAGAGCCTAGGCTTTTTCCTATAGAATCATATGAGATTTTCGTCGTTATGATTCACCGAGTGCGAAAAAAATGAATCTGAAAATGAAGTTTCCAAAACTGCCCAGGAACTTTCTTTACAACCTAATACATTTCTTCCGAGATGCTCTGATCACAAGCAGACTTACAAAGGGGCTCAACCTCTCTCATAAGGCTTAAAGATAAATGAGCATTTTTACTTGAAAAAAAAAAGTTCTGTATAGTAAGAACCCAGACAATCTCTCACACTTTGTTCTCAGCGTTTGTGCTCCATAACTCATCAACCAACAGTAAGATATTTCAAACTTTTTCTGTCACCCATTTCAAGAAATGAACATCTACAACTCTCTTGTTGAAGCCTGAAAGCTGACCGGAGTGATTACCACAGCCAATCACTTACTTTTGATACTTCTGAAATTCGCGAGCCATGCCCTTCACAGTGAGTAGCTAAAAACTCCGGCGATAACGGTATTCTGCTCCGGAGCTCCCCTTATTTTATCTTCGCTACTTTGTTCATTTTCCCCGCAACTCAGTTTGTTGAGAGTGACATGGACGAGCTAATCAAGAAGCTGCGATTCTGTTCTTTACGACGTGTTGGTGCAACAATCTTCAATTACTCTTCAAGTAAAAGGTCAAAGTGGATTCCACTCACCAAACATAAGATTGATGCTTATTTCGCCATTTCTTTCTTGGTATCTGGTGTACAAAGTTATGTACAAAGCGTAGGATATTGCAGATAACTAAAAAGGTATTACCAACAACTTCATAAAGGCCAAATCATCGTACCTGTGCAAAAACTGCTCCTTTGAGAGAGGCGGAAAACTGTGAAACAACAAGGACCCCTCCCAAGTTCATAGCAACAAGTAAAGCCTGAAAGAATTTTACCCTAGAAATCATTTTCAAAGTCAAGCACGTACCTTTATAAGGCTGAATCTCGATGTAGCCGTGGGAAAGCAGATCAGAAAGACTAGTACAAATAGAGAAGACGATGAAGAAATCAAATTCAGCGAAGAGACAGATGTGAATAGTAAAGCCGTTTGATATGTAAATGTACACACCAGCCACTGAATATACGTGAGAATTGTGATCGAAAATCAAGAAAATGATAGAGTGTGATTCTCGAAATCAAATCTGTCCCTAATCTGCCAAATTTTTATTTTCGAAAAAGGATTTGCTGTGATCGGCATGTTCCCCAGTTCGATAAAAATTGACAAAAATGGTATCAGCAAACAAGTAAAACATCATGACAATTTTGGTTCTTTTTCATAAATGCATTCCTGCAACTTCACCGAGCATGAATTTTTGAATCTGTCGTCTCCTTGCTAAGTACTATCTCACTATATAGGAATCCGCTACTACTTCACATATATAATACAACCCATGAATGCAATATCACGATTTCGCTAAAATTCGCCGAGGATGTTTATTCGACCTGCTGAGCATGAAACTGATATTACTTTGCACGGTAGGGCCCTACACTGCGAAATAATATCAGGGTTACGATAGGTATATGAGTGTCAAAATTTCAGATCTCATGGTAATTTCGTCCCAGAAAGTTGAATAACATGCTGGCTACGAATATGATGTTGATTCTGCAAGTAGGACCATATTCTATGGTTGCGGTGGGTATACGGTAGGTTCGAGCGGATTCTTCCATATCCGCTCAAAGATTAGGATGCACTTTCTCCTGCTAATTGCAACTATGATAGCGATGTGTTTGAGATTCTGTTTCGATCAATTTACTCGGGTGACATGTCATATAGATCTACTAGCTGGCTCACCCGGCTCCGCCGTATGTTCCGAATAGAAAATTCCATTTCTTAACCGATCCGGACCAAACTTGGCACACATACACTTCGGGCCCCGGCGGGACAGACAGACATACAGACAAACAGACATTCAGCTTTATATATAAGAAGAGATATTTTCTGGGCGCATATCAAAGAGTCCCTTAGACGAAGTTTTGAGCGAACTTTGGATGGCGGCCCATCTACCGTGTACACCTTATTCCTAGATAATGGTCTCGATGCGCAGAATTAATATCCGTAATGAACTTCCAGTAATCCCTCTCTCAAATTTACAGCCAGTTCGTGGTTTAACCCCATACCATCTCTATTGGTTGTATATGATTATATTATCATCTTATATATAAAGCTGAATGTCTGTTTGTATGTATGTATGTCTGTCTGTATGTATGTGTGTACGTATGTTCCGAATAGAAAATTCCATTTCTGAACCGATCCGGACCAAACTTGGCACACATACACTACGGGCCCCGGCGGGTGTCATAGGCTACTTTTCGTCATCGATCGATATCGATTTTATCGATTTTTATCGATTTTTTTGCTGAGTTCACCTACGGGGCTGGGAGTTGGCACAGGGGGGTAATCGAGCATGGGGATTCCGAATACAATATTGGTTTTCAGGATTATCGATTACTTTTATCGATTTTATCGATTTTTTTGCAAAGTTTGAGCTACGGGGCTGGGAGTTGGCACAGGGGGGTAATCGAGCATGGGGATTCCGAATACAATATTGGTTTTCAGGATTATCGATTACTTTTATCGATTTTATCGATTTTTTGCAAAGTTTGAGCTACGAGGCTGGGAGTTCGCACAGGGGGGTAATCGAGCATGGGGATTCCGAATACAATATTGGTTTTCGGGATTATCGATTGCTTTTATCGATTTTATCGATTTTTTGCAAAGTTGGAGCTAGGGGGCTGGGAGTTGGCACAGGGGGGTATTCGAGCATGCTGATCATCCCCAAGGGGGTGATCAGCATGCTCGATTACCCCCTGTGCCAAATTCCAGCCCCCTAGCTCAAATTTTCAAAAAATCGATAAAATCGATAAAAGTAATGGACGATCTTGAAAACTAATATTGTATTCGTAATCTGCATGCTCGATTACCCCCTGTGCAAACTCCCAGCCCCGCAGGTCAAACTTTACAAAAAAATCGATAAAATCGATAAAAGTAATGGACGATCCTGAAAACTAATATTGTGTTCGTAATCAGCATGCTCGATTACCCCCTGTGCAAAATCTCAGCCTCGCATGTCAAAATTTACAAAAAATCGAGAAAATCAATAAAAGTAACCGATAATTCTGAAAACTAATATTGTATTCGGAATTCCCATGCTCACTTCCCCCCTGTGCCAACTCCTAGCCCTGTAGGTGAACTCTGCGAAAAAATCGATAAAAATCGGTAAAATCGACATCGATCGATAACGAAAAGTGGACTGTGACACCCGCCGGGGCCCGAAGTGTATGTGTGCCAAGTTTGGTCCGGATACGGCGGAGCCGGGTAAGCCAGCTAGTACTCTATAATAAAGCGCAGGGGGGACCATGTGACTCATGCGTTTGTCGCTATGTCTCGAATGCACCCATTGCACCCAGGTTGTCTGCCTTCCGAGATGTTGACTGGAACGCCCTTTAGTGCTCGACTCAAAAAACAGTAATATTGATTAGCAATATTGTCACCGAGTGATAGCTCGCTTCAGTTTATAGCGCATTAGGATGGGTCAACTTTGGTATCAGTTTATTTTAGTTAATAATTTCTACAACTTAATTGTACAAAAGCATTGCTTTCCAAATTTGTAAGTGGCGCAGCAGAAACTCCAGATGTGATTTTCCCCATGAGGGTTCTCAATTTTGATACACTAACAGCCATATTTTTATTATCTGTTCAACATTTCATAGTGTGAGCAAAACAGTGGGATTCTGGCCGCATTGTAACTAAAGGGAGTGTGACAGGCAGGAAAGGCCTTCAAGGAAGGAAAATGGGGGGAATTGAAATATGGCAGATAAAGTTTTGTGAATGTAAGCTAAATCGTAAGCACATTCATGGAGGGTCTGAGGAAAGGAAGCGGAGTAGGATGGAATTCTACTTTCTGATTGCGAGGTTAAATGTAAAATCTACCAACAGTGAGAAGTTCGAATTTTATTCGAAAACTTGATAAGGAATGTTTTGAGCAGTAGGTGATTTGAGATAGGGAAGAAAAGGGAAATCCAATTTCTTATCATGAGGAACTACCGCAGATGGCGCTTTTTGTAGAATGGGAAAGCCTGCACCTTAGTCAGCAAATTCTTTATGGACTGTCGGAGTTTCTTATGAGCTAAAGAGCTGGGACTAACTTACCACTCTTTAGTGCTTTCTTAAAAAATTTTGCGTGCCTGAAAGGCATGCTATTTGGGGTTTGTGCTCTGTACCAGTAGGTGCGGTGGCTGGGGAGGGACCGGGGGGGGGGGGGGAGGAGGGAAGGGACGAAGGTCGGGGTGGGAAAAGAGGGGTGAGAAAGGTACAATGGCACGGACAGAAAAAGCTGGAGTGTATTTAAGCATTTAGTGGCACACTTAATCCGAGTTACGAAGATTATAGTGGAGCTAACAGTAAGGTAGCATGTGGCATAGAGCTTTTGAGCCCAAATCAGCTAAAGATACTCAAGTTCGTCGAAGAGCTAGTGACTAGGAATCAACTACTATTCGATGCTCTCTACACGTGCCTGAAAGATTTTATGCTATACTTTCGGCTACGAAAAGCTGAAGACAAAACTTCACAAGTTCTAGCTTTTGAACACCTCTTACTCTACACACACAGCCAGTTCAAAGCGCCGCGAAGCGGCGCTTTGAACTGGTTATTTTATATGATGTATATAATACGATTAAGCCCTGTGTACAAAGATTCAGCAAGATCTGAGATTTCGAGCCCAGTACACCTTGATCTCTCGCTTGCCCAGGGAAATGAATGTCATTTCCTTGATAGGCCTCGGGCAGATCCACGCGATTTCATCGCCGCGATTCTCCCAACAAAATAAACAGTTACAAGTCTACTGCATGCCGATCACCTTGCAATTCGGTTCTGATTTCTCCACATGACCAATCGTGACTAAGTATCGTCGAGTCATTCGTGACTTAATATGTGCAGTGCACACTGTGCACGCTAACTGACGAACTGCAAAACTAGAACCGGCTCAATTCCAGTGATTTCTCCTTGTTTCCTTGCCTTTTTTGTTTTTGTTGCTTATATGTTAATCAATAAAACACATTTCTACACTTTGTTAGGCTAGAAAATCTTTCACTGGAAAGTTACCAGTAAGAGTGCCGTCGCTAATAGGGCTTAGTGTGCAGTCTCACATATTAAGCTACAAATGACTCAAGGTTACCATAACCGAGATGCAAGATGATTGGAATGCAATGGACTCGTAACTGTCTGTCTTGTTGGAAAAATAGCGGCGATGAAATCGTGTGAACTTTGCACGAGGTCATAAGCAGGTGAATCTCACTAGGCGAACTAGGAAGTTCGTAATTTTGCTTGGACTGCATTGAGTGGATCTATCGCCTAATGAGGCAGGCTGGGATTGACGTAACAAGCTCTTTTTGACAACACACAAACATCCCATATTACCATTTCGCTATGTAGCTTGCAAAAGCAAACATTTCATAGGGTGTTATACTCACCATTGGAGCAAAGAAAAACACAGTATGTTTGATATGCTCCGGAAGATTTATAGAAAGCGAGCAGTCTATTAGTGGTGGGGAATAAGGAAGCCGAGCCTCGTGAGCTTCAGTTGCTTCGCTCGATGGCATACGTCGTACCTGAACATACAGCTACTTCATCTGAAAAATAAAAATGCAGTCTCACCTCTCTATGTTCAGCGAAACGAACACTTCGCGTTACATCCAACTCCCTCTCAGCATCATTTTCAGAGTCAGATGTCATTGTCTCAAAACCTTCCACGCTCTAAACATGTAAAATATCAAATGGCATGGACACTTCAAACAACATGTGCAGTAAAGGAGGTTTCTATGCTCTGCATGCAATTGCACATATAATTTAGCATGGGTGACATGTATCCACTCACACTCTGAGTAGAATGGTGCCTAAACAAACAAAAAAACCAAGGAAAGGCACAAGAATTATCTGGGCCTCATGAACAACTTCACTTTGAAAAATGTGTAGTTGCACCTTCGAAAATGTGCCATTTCGCACAAACATAAAGAACTCGACTGTATGGGCTGTCTAAATGGGGTGTCACAACTGTAGCGGTGCGGGCCTTCGCGTCCACTTCGTGCACCCAGCGCGCCCTGCACCGAGTTCACACACGCCTTTGGGCCCACGGCTCAGCAGCGACTGTGAGCTGTTGAGCAGTATAGTTGATTCGCTGACCGCACGGACTGGTCACTGCAGAGCACGCGCCGCGAGGTAAACACTTGCCCCGGTACAATTCGCCATTGTACAAGTCGTGCTCTCGCGACGATTCGGCCGCGCCGCGCGTGGTTCGTAGCGCTTGAGCAGTCCGTGCGGTCAACGAATCGACGATACGTTCGCGAATGCGGCGCAAGATCCGAGCGAAACGTCCTCATGAGCCCGAGCCGCGACAGCTGTGACACTTAGACTGAGACAGTCTACATGTACCTCACTTCTTATTTGAACGACTAGCGACCTTAAGGGTCGTTAGCAAGTGTGTCGATGTAACTACAGATACCTCAGATATATAAAATTTCCCAACCTTTTTCTGAGAACTTTTTTACGAAGCATTTTGAAAAAGGAGAACTGCTCGAAAAGGCGATAAATTCCACAAACTATTCAGCATTTCTCGAGAATGCTACCACAACCATGCAAGACTATGGAGAAAATCATTTTTCTCACAATTACCACGGTTTTCTGCGATTTCCCCACTTAATAAAGACTTTCATAAAAAAAACTCCAGTTTCCTATCCTCTCAAAAAATTAGCCTCATCCAGTTTTTTTTTAATAAGTTTCATAAAAGACCGTTGACTAAGTAGCAGAACACCTATCTTTTGAAAGCAGCAAAGCACCTAACAGTGATGTGTAGAGAACACTGTTCTCTCAAAACTAATTCTGAGAGCAACGAAATCAATCGTCCCTAAACTTTGTCAAAGAATTCTCCAATTCGCCAAAGGAATAGAAAACTTTACTACAAAAAGAAAACCTCCCCAAAACCACGACTACTGAGCCACCTAAAAACAATTTTAAAGTGCTCAAACGTAGAAAAAATCTGTTTCGCTGCCCGATCGAATTGCCTGCGTGCCGCTTACAAAATGTTATCATCTACTGAAAGAAAGTTCATGCCATAGGTGCCACTTGCAGACCGTACTTAAAGAAATTATAAAAACTGCCCCAAACAAGCCAAAATCTATTCTCCTGCCCGATCGAACTGCCCTACGTGCGCCTACAGACCGATATTATATATATGAAAGAAAGTTATGCCATGCGGGTCGCTTGAAGACTGTGTTCAAAAGTATAACCAAGCTTACGACTCCTACAAAAAGAAAATAACGAAAGCAAGTATTTGCCCACAACTATTCTGAAATTGCCGTAAGTACCACTCAAGTTATAAGAAATGCCCCAGACGCACTAAAATCTGCTTCCTTACTCGATCGAATTGCCTACGTGCCGCTCACATACGATATCTATTTGAAAGCACCAGCGGGACCCAAATACACAACCAATGGTATGCTGTTCTCCAATAAACACTTCCGAAAGTACCAGCGAGACCAAGTTACTCACGCAATCTCTTATCTGCAAGCGGAAGCAAGATAATATCCATGTGAATGTTCTTAGAGGATTCATACTAAGAGTCAAGAAGAGACAGGCTGTATGACGAAGGCGCAATACGTGTGGGTGCAAACGCGCCTTTTTTAGCCGCGGAGCGCATGAGGCGCAGATTTACAACGGTGGAGATATGCGCGCGTCGCGTTCGCGCCTGCTCAACTAGTACTGCTTCTGCGCCTTCGTCATGCAGGAGCCATTACGTGAATTTAGCTCAACTCATCCTGTTACGTAATTTGGCACTATTTTAAAAGCAAATAATAAGACTACGATATGGTTGTTTAACCAACATATTCTGGGATAACAAGCATGAAAATAATTTGTACAAATACAGTCAGTCTTTGCACCCTCAACACTCATGATTGCATTTCGAAATAAGTCTGGGCCTTTTAGGCCCCGGCCAGACTTCACGCGATTTGATCGTCGCGTCTCAATCGCCGACTTCCATTCATTTTCATTCCACATTCAAAAATTTCGGGCTGGAAAAGTATCACAACCGAAATGCAAGTTGATCGGCATGGAATGATGTTGTAACAGTTGTCTCGTCGCGATTCAGTCGCGCCGATCAAATCGCGCGAACTCTGTCCGAAGCCTTAGGCCTCGGGCAGAGTTTACGCGATTTGGTCAATCGCTGAAGACAAGTGTTACGAGTTCACTGCATGCCGATCTTCTTGTAATTCGGTTATGATAGTTTTCCAACACGACTAATCGTGACTAACTATCACAACCGAAATACAAGAAGATTGCATGCAATGAACTCGTAAAGAGCCGGGCATACTTCACGCGATTTCAGTCGCGACGCAATTTGGCAATGTTCAACTGTCCATAACTCATTGTAAGTATAAAATTTGCAGAAGATAGAGCATTCTCTCAATTCACGTAAGTTATACTTAAAATGCATGTGCAGTTTGCTAGTGTTGGATTTGAAGATTTCTGGCGAATTGCCAAATTCGCGTCGCGACTAAAAGCGCGTGAAGTATGCCCGGTCCTTAACACTTGTCTTTCTGCTTACTCACTCAGTTAGGAAATTTGGCCGCATTCCAAAAGGCATGCCACTACTGGCAGCATTCCAAGGACCCAGTATATTCCATCATAATTTCTTCGTCTGCTATCTCATGTGGGTGGCGTACTATGAAGGCAGTGGTTCGGGAAAATTGCGACTGCGGGCTTTTCACGACTACATGCCTTTCAGGACCAGCTGAGTCCGATACTGCGCTTGAAAGTCAAAAAAGTGTTTTTTTGGCGTTTCCGGGCCTTGGAGATTGCTGGAGGAGCGGGGCGAGGGATTCACCCCGATAGGAGCAACTGGCTGGTGGAGGCTGTGACTCCACCTATTTTAGCGGCAATTGGTTGATCAGCCTAGGCAGCCATTGCGATACAGTTTGCCGCCAAAGTAGGTGGAATTACAGTCTCCTGCAGCCGGTTGCCCATTTTGGTGAATCCCTCGCCCCGTCCCTCCAGCAATCTCCAAGGCCCGGGAACGCCAGAAAAGCACTCTTTGACTTTTCAAGCGCAGTGCCGGACTCAGCTGGTCCAGAAGGTCATGTAGTCGTGGAAAGTCCGCAGTCGCAATTTTCCCGAGCCACTGCCTTTAAGAACGATAGCGCGCACTTGGGCAGGCAGGTGTCAATAAGGTGCGCACCGTTAGCCCCGCCTATCGCTGGATGGAGTTCCTGCACTACGGCTTTGACACTGTTCAAGACCATGTTCATAGTCATCTAAAAGCAGTTCCTGATATAAGTTATAAGAGCTTTTCAAGTCAGGAGAAGCTTGATTATTTGCAAAAATCGTTTGGTATTCTAGTTGTAGATTTACTAATTTTTGAGATGCTAATATGGTGATCGCGGCACTTGAATCTTCTTCTTCTTCTTTATCCTTGCTATTGTCCCGCGGGGGCAGGGTCGGCTGTGGTGCATTTTTGCTTCCATTTGACTCGATCAGCTGCTGACTATTGGATGCCGCGCCGAAGCCACTTACCGATGGTGATGAACGCGAAGGTCATATCCACGGCGACACGAGCATTTGCGCCACAGCACCGGTTGGTCGTGTTGGATCTTCGACTGAACATCCACTTGCAGTTACGAGCCAGGAGGACGACAACAAAGAGCATCAAATGGCAGATGCTTTCTGAACATCGCCAGCAAGTCAGAGAATCTTTTAACGATCTGGAGGTGTCGGCAGAGGATAAGGAATCGATTGAAGGACAATGGAATCGAATCACGTCGCAGATACGATCGAGAGCCGAGGAGATCCTGGGGACCACCAAGCCAGGCGCCGGTTTGTCGACAAGCAGATCTGGTGGTGGGTCTGAGTCAGTCCAGCAAGTAATCAAAGAGAAGAAAGAAGCCTTCAAAGCCTGGATCACTTAGATGAGGATCTTCGTCGATATCGAGAACTGAACTCGAGAGCGAAGCATGCGATAGCCGAGGCAAAGGAAGCGCACTACAAGAGACTTTACGATGAGCTGGAAGGACCTGCTGGAGCAAACAAGGTCTACTAACTGGCCGCTGCACGACATCGAGCGAAGCAAGAGATGGACCATGTCATGCACATTGAAGGCAGCGTCCGGGCAGGTCCGACGATTTCAAAAAAAGCACAGATTCCTACAGCTCCCCACCCCGATCAAGGTCTTGCCCAAGTGGCATCGCTCCACTTTGCTTCTGAAGCGAGAAAACCGCCTCAGAAGTGGCGACAGGGACACCCCTTCACGGCCGGCGGCGACATGCCCGCCCATCCAAGGATTTCACGTTAGATGTGCAGGTTGCCAATTCGCACTGTCATGACTGTGGACGTGATGCAACCTCTTACTGTCATAACCAGGGTCAAGCAAGGGGTGTGGCACACGATCGCTGATTACGACCCCCCCCCCCTGATTGCTGTCTTAATAAGACCCCACCTCTGAACTATATACCTAAGATAGCATTACCAGAGTTGAGAAAGAGGTCAGGCACAAGTCTTTCGAACCCCCCCCCCTTCCATGAAAGCCCTCAAACGACCCCTTCTTTCTCCTCTTAACCTCTGTACCTCAAAGTGTGACATTCTGGAGGACACCATCTTTTTCTAGAGAGTTTTCAGATTTCTGAGAGCTGTACGCCCGATTTTCTGTGACTGCACTTTACAATCACACGTATTTTGACGGCTGATTTTGGTCTGAATGGGCATATTGA